TCGTGTTGATGTGTACCTCTGTAGCTGCTGATGGTGGTACAAAACTGTCGTCGTTCGCAATCGCGTTCACCTATACTTGCGGAGTCGGGCGTGTAGTGACCAAGTCTCTGCCCAGGTTGTTGGGCTGTCCCTGTCCTAAGGTTGGAGTTGCGGACGGTCTGTGTGCCGGTTGTGCGTCTCCTGATGTGCGGTTGGCGTCATACGGCCGCGCCCTGCCGTCCGTACCCCCTGGGGGCGACGCTCGGAAATGGTGACATCGCGAAATATGACGTGAACCTGGCGGAGCTTGTGCCTGACATCCAGCACACGTTGGGGGTAATGTCGGCTGGGGTCGCTGTGCCCAGTTCTGTGACTGTCGTCGAACTGTCTGCGGGTTAGGGCGGCTATTGGTGTAGTCACGAGCCCCATTACTTGGTGGGCCTTCGCGATTATTACGGTTCTGGAGTCGCGCCGCAGTGCGCTGCTGTGCGTCCTGAATGTCGGGACTCAACAACTGTAGAAGCTCGTGAGTCTTCATTAACTGCCATTTGGGATGCAATTGTAGAGTGCGTTCATACGTACGGCCGTTGAGAGCTTCCTCCAACAGTTGAACAATGCAGTGGTTTAATAAATTCTGTTGGAAGTCTGCATCCGTCTGGCTTTGTTCACGTGCCCTCCTGTGGTTCTCCATGAGCTGTGTCATTTGTTCCGTAATAGGGGTGTGCATGTTGCGGTTGTGGCCCTTGGCAAGCTTACGAAACGCGGGATCAACAGTGCCTTGAGTCTCGTGCAAGCAAATCTGTTCGATTTGTAGTTGTGGCGTCCACATCTTCAATCGTTCAGAATTGTCACGTATGTAATCCAATGTTGATTTCTCAGCCGTAAAGTAAGATAATATCTTGTGGAATCATGTAAGGCTCCAAATATCATCTAACTCTGCGATATGCGCGTTCTTAAAGCCTCCAGTAGAGCTCCCTTCATGTCCCGTTCTATGATGCCGTGGAGGTGGTATATATTCGAGGGCCAATCCGGCCATGTACGAGGTGATGGTACCGGACGCTTTTCCACTGGACGGGACTCTAGCGTGGCTCGAAGCGTTTCGATCGCTTCCCTAAGAGCTTCAGCTCGAGCCGTATTATTATCCTCTATTGCTTGGCATAACTCGTCGCTCAAGTGTAGCATACGTGCGTGTAGTACCTGTCGACTTTCTCAATACTCGCCGGTGTGGGTGGAGGTGTGAGCGACGTCGTCTCCGCTCGCTTAGACGTCTGTACATGCTCACTGGTTGCTGCCCTCTCGAATGATTGTCGCTGTTGTTGTTGGCGATAGGTCGTACTCATCTGGTCCTGCCTGTTCTTGAGCGCTTCCTGCCCATGTGGTTTTTTTTTTGGCCAACACCTGCTCACGTGCGAATTCTTGGAATGACAGAGCCTCCTCCAGAGACGACAAAGTCTCTTCCTCTTCGGAGACAATGCCCCCGTGTATGTGGGCTAGTCAACGCTTCGTGCGCGGACAACATTGTCGTAGGCCGTTCTGAAGATGTACGCTTCAGCCTTTGTTCGTACTTCTCCAAGAGCGATTGTTGTTGTGCCATGAGTTCGGTTAGCTTCTGTGTTGACGACTGGCCCTGCACCGTGCCCTTGTTGTTGGAACGACGGCGGCGACGCCTACGCTTATTAGGTGGGAGGCGTGGTTGCTCGTTACCGGAAGATGAGGCTCCAGAAATACCCGAAGACGAACAAGAGGGCAGTCCACTACTAGCTACATGATCACCAGTAATGGACTGCCCCCTGTCCGCACGCAGGTCGGGATCTCCTTTGGCCTCGTCATTAATTACCACGTCTTCCTTCGTTAGGCTGATATCACCCCTGGGTGTCTTGGATGCCCGTCTAATGTTAGTCGCTGCTTGGTGATGAATCTTTCCATTCTGTAGTTCCATCCGTCCGTTCTCAGCTCGTTGGCTGGTATGGTCCGTGACAGACTAGTGGCGCTTAGTCCCTCGACGGTCTATGTTGTCTTCCTCCCGACGTTCAGGGGTCAGATGTTGCTACCTACGGCTTTGACGTAAGTTGTACATAATAGTACGTTGTGTGGTTCAATGGAGGTTTGGAAATGTATGTAAACGTCCTCGAAATAGGTCGGGTATAAATACTTCTCCGTCCTAGAGATCGTTTCTCATCTCAGCAAGTATCGACACTGTTTTCCAGGAAAGATTTATTCCGTGCCCTTCACTACGTTCCTTTTCAGAGTGATACAATAGTACATGAATCCTGCTCATGCCTCCAGCAGACTATGGTGCCGTATATCCTTCGATGAAATAATTGTCGGGGTTCACCCTACACTCCTTGGGTGCTACTCCAACCTCCTAGTGGAGTCACATCCTTCTTCGGCGACATACTTTTGCTCCTTAGAGAGCTCCACCGCTCTCGCTTTACTCCCCTTCCTTTGCTAATCTTACTCCCTTGTGCAGCTACATGTGCCGTTGCGGTTATTGGTATATAACTGCCTATTGTCGGCCTGTCGTGCCCTACGGACTGCTCTGTTTACCTCTAGATCCTGCTTGGTACTTTCTTTCGAGCATCTCTAATACAAAGTTCTGCTTAGGCAAGTAGTTCCTAGTGCCTCTGTGGATTCTAACTGTGTATTATACAATTCTTACCTCGACATCCCCTAATTTACCAGATATCATCTTTGTCTATGTACTGTAACTCCTAAGGTGGTTCTTTGATTTACAGTAAGACTCAAATTGTACTATTAGTCCGTATCGTTCCACGATCTTATTGCTAACCTCATTGTTCAATGTACCTGGGTACCATTTAAATATGTACATACTCTCTATCCCTTCGATCTCTCAATTTTGTCAAGAAGAATCTCTCATACCACGTTAGTAACGTACTATGCCTATGATATTATAGTATATATCTATAATTATTTACGCTGACTTGTTCTTTGTGTCCTTACTTGCTTTATAACCTTCGTTTTAATCCCTTTCAGTTCTAACTGGGACATTGCGAACTACCTAACTCTTCCCTTTGTCTATGTCTAGAGTTAGGGCGTATTTATTGTAGTATTATATCTCATTGGCCCATCTACAGTAGGAGCAACATTGCTAATTCTATTCCCGATTGCTTCTATGCATACAACCCCTTAGATCTTACTCACCATATACACTGGTTCCATTTCTCTCATGCAATTTCTACAGAGCATCCTCTAACCAAGAATATTTCCAGAATAGGGTTCTAATTCGATATCTAACCCACAATTTCACCCATACTATTTGTTTCTACAACATATAATCACCAAACTATTTTGCACCATCGTTTCTACTTAACTGATCGTCTGACTGGACCCTCGTCTTGGCCGTTTGGTCCTTCTTGTCCTGCTGATTTCGTTCTTATACTTCAGATGTCTGTTCCTGATTCGATTGCTTCTTGGGTTCGGTCGTGGGCTTCTTGGGTTTGGTCGTAGTGTCATTGTTTGCCTCCGTTCTTGGAGCCACAGTAAAGTTAGATACCTGTCTAGGAAGCCTGAAACGTTCGAGCTGTCTAGCCATACTGATTCTATTGAGCCTGAAGCGTCCATTGTTCCCTTCAGATTCCTTTTGCTGATTCCATCGGTCGTGCTGATCGTTCGGTCTCGGCGTCTCTTCCTCTTCGCTGCCACTACTCGACATCAATGATGGCATTGTGGCACTAGCATCACTACTTGTGTACCCACTATCGTCTTCTACCGCGGGATACCTGTCTAGGAAGCCTGAAACGTTCGAGCTGTCTAGCCATACTGCTTCTATTGAGCCTGAAGCGTCCATTGTTCACTTCAGATATCTTTTGCTGATTCCATCGGTCGTGCTGATCGTTCGGTCTCAGCGTCTCTTCCTCTTCGCTGCCACTACTCGACATCAACGATGGCATTGTGGCACTTGCATCACTACTTGTGTACCCACTATCGTCTTCTACCGCGGGTAGATTTTGAAAGATTTCGTCATTTTGTCGCGCCATCTTACTTCCGCTATTATAACAATCGGTGTTCTTTTTCTTCGTCCGTTGTATTCCTGTAGAACAATCTAATAAATTTCATTCAATTATTATAAAGTAGCATATTTCCTAATTACCAATAAACTCACAACTTCATTGGTAAATTAAAAATGTGGTAAACGAACGCTCCAATAACTGTATCGCAACGTTCTATCCGTAGAGAGGGAGACGTTGTTCATTTATTAGTAATTGTAAAATTAGTGACTCTAAAAGTGAGTCACAAGTCATGTGCTGTAATAGTCAGCAAAAACTAAGTTTATCAGATTATTCTGATAAACTGTAAAAAAACTAAAATAAACAACTAAAACCTATGTACTTGTATTCTGATCACACTAAACAGAAACAGTCCTTTGTCAGCAAACAGATGAAGTACTCTCGTGACTCAGGTATTGAAGTGGGTGTTGTGTTGTTGCTCGATGAGGGTACTGATATTGGTAAAACATGCGCATGTGTGCGCAGAATCGGAGTGAACACATCGTTGGTTTGGTTTGATGTTACTGTTGTTCTATTCTGTCTAAGCTGTGAACTATCCTTTCTGGGTGCTAGAATACGCCGTTTCTCCGGACATGAACGAGGTGTGTTGGTTTGACTGCTACTAGAAGTATCTGTGAGTCATGGCGAGATTTCATCCGATAAGCTATATGGTTTGAAATGGAGAATACCATCATAATTCAGTCGTGTTCGTGTCTTCGCATTTGTGTTAAATATTGAAGGATGGAAGTGATGTTTGTGAATCCGAATAGTTGAACGCTTTTCTTCTATAGCTCGCACTCATATACGCTGTGCAAGCCTTATTCGGGAACCATCATCGCATACTAGTTTTTTTGGTCACATCGTCAACATTGCATGGTAAGAATATATCATCTGTACTTGAAATATCCTCACCACATACCTCTTCGCTATTTGTGCATACACACTTAGTGTGTTGTGCTCCCACTTCACCCCAAACTACAGGAACTCTATCCAATTGATAATCCCACTTCCACTGAAGTTCTCTGAAAGACAGTGCTGGAACTGGGTGTTTGTTAAGATGTATTTGCGCGCCATTTTGTGTAAGGTACAAGTCCGTGATGCTGAAATGTTTTGCGTTGAGAACTGCGTTGTGTAAACTTCGATGGACATTTCCATGTTTTAAAGTATGTTTTAAATAAACTAAGATACAATTTAAGTCAATTTGGATTTAGCAGTGGTAGCTTGTGTAGGAATGATTAGGACTGCCTCTTGGTAAGAGCCTTAATATCCTAGATCACACAGGATGTACCTCTAGCTGTTCTTTATTGAATAATTTTCACTAGAAGTACTAGGTGTTCGTGACCATATGCTTAATTTGTAGATAGACATAAGAACGTAAGTCAAGTTAATACATTAGCTAATATAAATAAAGTTCCATCTGAAGAAGAGTTAAAAAAAGAAAAAGACATTGGATTTTGGAGATTGACGGGAAGACCAAAATCTGTAAGTAATAGTTCAGAGATTATAAAACTTAGTTTATAATATCCTACATCCACTATTGTCTCAAACAAGTCCAACTAAAATAGTCATACCAAATATTCAGACTATTGGAGCCATCAAAGTGAATTTAGAACACCTATGGAAATATTGGAAAAATAACTTGTAATAATTTTTCTATAAATTTAAATAAATAAACAATGTGTTATCTCATTTGATCTTGATATTTTAGACTGACTGGAGGCCGTATTTATACATAGTCCTCAGTAGATTTTAGAACTATGGACGTCCGTGAAGGTATGAAAGTAAAACGGTTTCGGTCATGGCTTATCGAGTATGTATGTGCCTATATGTACGAGTTCAAGACTCATGTTGTACTCTATGTCGTTTAGTATTTAGTCCATTAATCATTTCCGATGTAGGTGCCTTATGTTTATTATTTGGTAAGGTAATAGCCAAAGGTTGTTCCTCATTAGTAAGTAAGTTTGAAGAATTTTCTGCACTGTTGGTACGCAGATCAGAAAGTTTAGTCACGCATGTGTTGTCTTTGTAAAGATAACTATATCATCTAAATAGACTGATACGTTATCTGACAGGCCCGCAAATAGTTTCATCATTACTTGTTGTACGACAAAAGGTAACATGTGTAAGCCGCCAGGTGCACCATTAAACTGATACTTTTGTTTACCTTGCCAAGCAAAGGAAAAGTATTTTCTATGGGGCTCATATATCTGTAATTGATGAAATGCAGCTTTTAAGTCTATCTTGGAAAAGATAGTCGCACCTTCCATTTTGCGTAGTATTTCGCTTATCATTGGTAAGGGGATAAACTATGTTGCGGAATTAGTTTGTTGATTGGCGACAGGTCTAATACTACTCTTGTTTTACTATTCGTTCCATCAGATTTATATTGATCGACTGCTAAGAGAGCTAAGATAACTGGGGTTGCACAGTCTGCTATTGATATCTCCCTGTTTTATATAATTAAGTCCATAATTATAACGGCAAAGTGCAGAATCATATTCTTTGCTTCACCTTCCCGGAGGCCGTATTTCTAGTTTTCTACAGTTGTTTGTTTTTCTTGTACCTCATTTTGTGGCCAACGCAGTAACTATCTCTGCTTCCGTGAATAGAGCAGGATTCAATCGATACAACCACTTGCGAGTTTTCATGGTTACCGATTCAATGTTCTCTCTTTTCGCTTGACCTTTCAGTAATGATATTTTACGGCTGACACAACTAAGACAATCGCGCACTCCACACAAACATTTCTGCACTCATTTAGTTTGCTTCTTAGGTGGTTGAAATGCACCACGTCTACTCGAAGCACATACCGTATTCAAAGCAGATATGGTCGAGTTACGAGGTGTAATATAAAGTATATATTTTACAATCAAAATTCTGACGGTTACCGGCTTCAGAGAAAACCAGATGTTCGGTACTAACATAAATTCATTCACTAAATAAATATATATTTTAAAAATATTTTTTGATAAAAGCAAAATATAACTTTTTTGCTCATCGCCTTCTATTTGTTTTCGGGGTTAAAAAAACAACAACTATAGTATCCAAATAGAATCATTCACTGAGTAAAAATAGAAGGGGGGGGTTTTTTTTCGGTGTGTGAATGTTTAATTTAGAAGGCGATGGTGAAATTTCAGTAAAATTTCAGTGAAATCCCGGTCTGTTTTTATTTCAGTATATTTCACTGAGAGTGAAAAAAAAAGAAGGGTTTTTTGTGCGGGTGTGAAATTTCAGTGAAATTTCAGTGAAATCCCGTTCGGTTTTTGTAAATGCCAGCATTTCCACTTTCCAGGTCCAAGGTATTTTCATTTTTGTTATTTATCCTGTTCTGAAAATTCATTTTACAATTTTTTATTCAGAATATATATTCAAGAAAATAGTAATGTACATTATGTACCTGGTATTTATACGGCACCCGATACTCTAAATTTCGTCCGAGCCTATATAAACCAAGTGATTTTTTTTTTGAAGCTTTATTCTGAAAAATGTATTAATCACAGAACAGGACAAAATCCCTTGGACCTGAAATTTACAACAGAGACATAGGGGGAAGAGTGTCTAGAGTCCCAAGTCCCGACTCCCTTCTAGGGCTAGAGCCTTTGGTGGGGGCCTCCTGGTGGGGGACTGGGGGTTCTCACTGAGGAATCGAGTCACTGCGAGGAAGGAGTTACCGAAGGAGGGAGAGACCAAGATAGAGAGAGTGAAATTTTAGAGACTAAAAGAGTAGACCAGAGAGACTGTGTGTGTGATTCGTCATTCACAATGTGTTTGAATGATTGTCGACAATCCGTGGTTCGGTTATCGACAGGAATGTAGGATATCCGACTCTGGAGTGTACTCTGGAGTTTTCAGTTATTTAACTCTATTTTCTGTGCTCTGCACAGTGCAAGGGCCAGGCCTCCAGGGCCCCAGGGCTAAGCTCAAAACGGCTTGCCTGTATGCGATAGACTTTAAACGTAAACGCAAAAAGTTTGTTTTTTAAGCGTTGTAAAGTATATCGGGGAGTCTTATGGGTTTACAAATAAGTACATTTTTTGAGGCGGCCTAACTGTCATGAATTGTCCTATTCTTCACTGTGTCGGTTGTGAATAGTTTCAAATCGCCTCTTCATTAAAAAAGGTCAATTTTCAGGTACACATTTGGAAAATTTTCATAGTTGATTTGCCCCCGATATACTTTAAAAAACGCTTAAAAAACCAAACCTTTTGCGTTTACGTTTGAAGTTTATCGCATATAGGCAAATCGTATTGAGCTTAGGTCTGCAGTCTGCAGTCTGCAGATATATTTTATACATATTTAAAAATACTATATATATAGACTTTGTCTATACAAAACCCGTCACTATAAAATTATTAACTCCCGAGCCCATGTCCAAAAGCGCATCCGGTCCATTCGCAAAGGTAGGTTCGATATTTATGGGCCCACGTATGGCGACTTTGGTCCAAGTACCGGACTATTAAGCGTGTACACTGCGCAAAAAAAATCTTTACCGATACAACAGTCAAGTATCAGTTTTCGGTACATAATCTACACCTACCTATCACCTGAAATAGAATACAACAATTCAGACTAGAGAGTGCCAATGTTCTGTAATAAACCTGTGAGCGTGAATTCATGGGTCCATACTTCTGAATAGTATTTATAAAAATATATCGTTTCATAGCCTTCTAAACTAAATATACACAACAAGAAGAAAAGAAGGCTAAATATGTAAAATATGATCGTTTGATTTGACAATTGCAATTG